CGCCACCATGCCCAGCTAATTTTTTGTAGTTTTAGTAGGGACGGGGTTTTACCATGTTGACCAGGATGGTCTCGATCTCTTGACCTCGTGATCCACCCGCCTCGGCCTCCCAAAGTGCTGGGATTACAGGCTTGAGCCACCGCGCCCAGCCAATACTCCAAACATTTTTAAACTTATGGACATTATTTGCCACATTGAAAGAATTTATCCTAATGTATTTTCCTTGGACAAAATCAGTGTCTTAGAAATAAAACGAAAGTCCTCTTTGTATTTGGAAAATATATATTTATAGTCTTGTTTGTACTTTATTCTGGTTTTGTTTTCATCCAGGAGTTTTTAACAGAAGCCTTGCCAGTTGGCCTCATTGGTATGAATTGCATTTTGATGAAACAGTACATTGAGTTTGTAGCTGACAGATTACTTGTGGAACTTGGATTTTCAAAGGTAAGGTGTTTAAAAATGTATTACTACTAGTTAAGATATTATAGGAAGGCAAGGACCCTAAAATACATTTTACTGAAAGCATTTGCAGCATACTATTCTATTTTTTAAATGTCCATGACAGAGACTTGTTTCGTATGAACAAGATTTTGCAAAATCCTTTGAAATTTAAAATTAATAACAGAAGCAGGAGGTTGGTAAATATTAGAACTAATAAGCTCAATAAATTGTTTTTAATAATTGCAGCTATATATTTAATAAAATTATTTTCAAGGAATTAGATTTAATATCCATATATATATTCACCCTCATATAAATCCCCATGTGTCTATATTGTAGTTTGGGAGTTAATACTTTTAAATAGGTAATAATTATTAGGAAGACATTAACTGTCATAATGTAACGTTTTGAACAGAATTATCCAAGTTATTTTTGTCATTTAACAAAGATAATGTACCAGAATTTCATCAAAACATATGGTTTTTCCATTACTTAAGACATGGAGCCTGCAGCCACACTATCTGTGTTTGAATCCTGGGTTCCACCACTTTCTAGCTATATGACCGACCTTTGGCAAGTTACTTAACCTCTATCTGAATTTCCTCACCTATATAACAGAGATAGTAATATTTACTACAAAGGATTGTTGATGAGTTGCTACACCTAAAGCAGTTAAAATAATATTAGACACATAGCAAATTCACACTAGATGATCACTTTATACTTACGTGAAACACAGAAATTCACTATGTACTATACCATGGTAATTAGAAATTATAGATTTTGATTTCTTGTCATGAAAATGTAAGTTTAAATTGTCTTTAATGAGAATCCTTATGAAATCTATGATGCTGTGGTAAATCTTTATCTATCTTGCTAATGTTGTATTAGCAGATATAGCAGAATTATATTCTGATAACCACCCAAGTACTTAATGAGTCAGGTTGGGTGAAGGGTTTTTTTGTAAGATAAACTACATTTTAATGTTTGAGTTGCAAGATCCTCTTTGTGTTTACTAATTAATGAGAAATAATTAGAGTGTAACTGTATTAATATAATATCCTAAACTTATAAACTATGTATATTGAAAGAAATTGTGCTTGCTCATAACTTTTACCAATATGTTTGTTATTAGAAAATTAATTTACTTATTTAAGTCTTACAGCGAATTCATTATTCTTTAACCCATTACCACCATATCCCCACATCCAAACATTTATGTTCTGCGGTCTGTTAGAAAACCACTGACCCTTGGGTCTAATTTTCCTTTTGGGAACTAGCTAACTGGAGGTATGTAAAACATGCTGCCTCCTGCAGAAGAAGATCTAATTACAATGTAAAACTTTGTTTTTCCACAGGCTTCTAAGTATCTGAGTAAATTCTAAAAAGCAGAAATTATGGCGGCCATAAATTTTTAATGCAATAAAAGTAGAAATTGATTTAAAAATTGCCAAAAAGCTTCATCTACTTAGAGATTAAAAATATATCCTTTAGGCCCGGCACGGTGACTCACACCTGTAATTCCAGAACTTTGGGAGGCTGAGGTGGAAGAGTCTAGGAGTTTGAGACCAGCCTGGGCAACATGGCGAAACCCTATTTCTACAAAAAATTAGCTGGGCATGGTGGCATGCCTATAGTCCCAGTTACTTGGGAGGCTGAGCTGGGAAGATCACTTGAGCCCGGGAGGCAGAGGTTGCAGTGAGCCGAGATTGTGCCACAGCACCCCAACCTGGGCAACAGAGTAGAGACCCTTTCTCTTGCGTGCGTGCATGTGCGCGCGCTCTCTCTCCCTCTCTCTCTCTCTCTCTCTCTCTCTCTCTCTCTCTCTCTCTCTCTCTCTCTCCCCCCCTCCATGTGATCCGCTCACCTCAGCCTCCCAAAGTGCTGGGATTACAGGCATGAGCCACCGTGACCGGCCTAGAGTACTTCTGTGTGTCAAAAACAAGCCACTTGGGCAGGCACGGTGGCTGACACCTGTAATCCCAGCACTTTGGGAGGCTGAGGCTGGTGGACCACCTGAGGTGAGGAGTTCGAGACCAGCCTGGCCAACATGGTAAAACCTCGTTTCTACTAAAAATACAAAAATTGGCTTTTTGTGTGTGTGTGTGGTGGCAGGTGCCTGTAATCCCAGCTACTTGGGAGGCTGAAGCAAGAGAATCGCTTGCACCCAGAAGGCGGAGGTTGCAATGAGCCGAGCTTGTGCCATTGCAGTCCAGCCTGGACAACAAAGGTGAAACTTCATCTCAAAAAAAAAAAAAAAAAAAGCCACTTAATTTAGTTTGATGTTGGTTACCTTGTCCATGCTGTGAATGGCTTAGATCCAATTTTTTGAAAAGTCTTCAGTTCTAAAATCCAGTGAGTCTATGGCTATTGGTTAAATGTCTTTCACTGTATCTTGCTGTGTATTACAGCTCCAATTTTACCTCACTTTTTACACACAATTTCTGATGGGGAATTTCACAGAATTTCATTCAGCCACACACAGTATATGAGATTTTTTTTTGAAAAAAGATATATAGATATTTAAAGCTTTATTTAAAGATGTAAATCACATAGCATGCAATTCACCCATTTAAAATGTACAATTCAGTAGTTCTTAGTGTAGTCACAGAGTTGTGCAACCATCATAACAACCTATTTTAGAACATTTTTATCACCCCGAAAAGAAACTCTGTCCCTATTAGCAGTCACTCACTCCCCTTTCCTCCCCTTAACCGCCTTGCCTTAGGCAATCGCTAATCTAATTTTTGTATCTATAGATTTGCCTATTCTGTATATTCTGTTTCATACAAATGGAATCATATAGCATGTGGCCTTTTGTGGTTCTCTTCTTTCCTTAGTGTAACGTTTTCATGGTGTATTCATGTTGTAGCATGTATCAGTGCTTTATTCCTTTATATGATCAAATAATATTCCACTGTATGGATATATCAAATGTTATTTATCCATTCAGTGGGCATTTAGTTTGTTTCCACTTTTGAGCTATCGAGAATAATGCTACTATGAGCGTTCATGTACAGATTTTTGTGTGGACATGTTTTCATTTCTCTTGAGTATATAACTAGGAGGGAAATTGCTGTGTCATATGGTTACTCCATGTTTAATCATTAGAAGAACTATCAGACTGTTTTCTAAACCAGCTGCACAATTTTATATTCCCACCAACGTATGAGGGTTCCAATTTCTCCACATCCTCACCAACACTTACTAGCTGTTTTTAAAAAAAAATTACATCCGAGTAGGTGTGATCCTGATTTGCATGTCTCTAGTGGATAATGATGTTGAACATCTTTTCATTTTGCATATTTTTTTAAAAGAAGTATCAGTTTGTCTATTTAAACACTGCCCATATTTAAAATCGAGTTACTTAAATATATGTTTATCTGTGGTGTTCATATTTTTGCTGGGATACTCCTAAATTGAGAAATCTTCTTTTGTTACTCCTTGTGATTCACTGAAATATCCCACAGCTGTATCCCCAAGTCTGCTTCTTGACATTTTTTTTTTTTTTGAGATGGAGTCTTGCTCTATTGCCCAGTCTGCAGTACAATGGTGCAACCTTGGCACACTGCAGCCTCCACCCCTCAGGTTCAAGCAATTCTCCTGCCTCAGCCTCCTAAGTAGCTTGGATTACAAGCACCTGCCACCATGCCCAGCTAATTTATGTATTTTTAGTAGAGATGAGATTTCACCATGTTGGACAGGCTGGTCTCGAACTCCTGACCTCAGGTGATCCGCCCACCTGGTCCTCTCAAAATGCTGGGATTACAGGCGTGAACCACTGTGCTTCTTGAATTCTGAAACAGTAAAAAGCTTCTTGCCAGCATAGTCCCCCTTTTTATTTGGAGACATCTAGTCACTATGAATAACATTTATTCTGTCTTCCCTGATCATGGTCCCTTCAATTTGCAATGATCTGTTCTCTTATGAACTAAGAAGCATGTTTAGAACCACAGTAGATTGTTGCTAATTTAACATTTTGTAGTATCATATATGCGTGATTATCTATTAGTAGTACCTATAAATGCTCATAGTTTCTATGTTGTATTGGCTATTTCAAGCTGCAAGAACATTTTCAACTGGTTAGTATTAAATATTTTATTTCCTGAAATAGTTGTTTTTTCTATTTGTTAGAATACCAGAGATGCTAGTGTAGTTTCATGAGGTGTTAGTAGTTGATGTTGATCATCTTAAAATTTGTCACCCTTGAGTGCCTCCCAAGTCTTAGGGGAATGATGTGATCTTAAAGCTGACTAGACAGGTTTTGAGAAACCTGACCTCTGTTTTTGTCATCTTTGCTCTTCTTGGGGGATGTAATTTGATCTCTTCAGAATGTCTAATAACATTTCTTTCCCTTTCAGTTTTTTCAGGCAGAAAATCCTTTTGATTTTATGGAAAACATTTCTTTAGAAGGAAAAACAAATTTCTTTGAGAAACGAGTCTCAGAGTATCAGCGTTTTGCAGTTATGGCAGAAACCACAGACAACGTCTTCACCTTGGATGCAGATTTTTAAAAACCTCTTGTTTTAAAATTGTATAAACTTGTCATTGATAAATAGTAGTCTACTTTCCTCTGCTTTAAAAAAAAAAACCTTAAAAGTATATTCTTTAAAGAACTGGGGATTTGCTCTAAAGGAAATCCAAAACCTATTCCAAACAGTTTGCATTTATATAATTTTCCTGTTTAACAAGAATGTGACCTAAATGCTTTTGTCTTGTCACTGAAATATAAAATGGCATTATATGGTTAAGAGTGTGGGTGAGGGGCCAGACATGAGTTTAAGGTTCTGTCGTTAACTCTAGTGTGTGATCCTTGGCAGGTCAGTTAATCTTGGTAAACCTCAGTGTACTTGACTTTAAAATGGGAGTAATAGTGGGTCATAAATTAATAGAGTGGATATGAGGATTAGGATACAAAACTAAATGCTTAACCAACACTATTACTGTTACACCACTACTGATTATCATGTTGCTGATAATATTAATTGCAGTGATGTTGTAATAAAATACTCTCATTTCCTTAAAGTAATTGTGATTCTAGGTCCTAGGATCTAGAATTAGATCTTTGTATTTTTAATGCTTAGGGGAAAGAATATAAGTATCTCCTTAAAAAGAACATAATTCTCGTTAACACAAGAATAGGTTCTTTGAATTCCTCAGTATGTAGTAAAGAAAATTTAGTTCTTAGTTGCTTTGGGAAACCTACTATGGAGTGGAAACCAGGAGGTTATCCTGGTGGTTGACTTTGTAAGCAAAATGATTCTTCTTCAGAAATTAAAAATATAACTATTGCCAGATTTAGCCCTGGAATGTTCAGAATCAGGTTAGAGTAGCATGTTCCAAAGAATATTATAGGAGCTGTTAGCCCCTCTAGATATTTTGTGGGGAAAAAAGGGATTTTGTGGTCAGATGAGTTTGGGAAATGCTGAACACTTCATTCTTCTTGAGCAAGTATAGTCATTACATCAAAGACTGAGCAATTCAGTGGCACATAAATTTATCTCACCCTGCAAATCCCCAACATATGTAACACAGATGTTTTTCACCTGTTAACATCTCATCCAGCTAGTGTTCCTCAGAACAAAGGTTGGAAAAAGCTGGCCTAGAACCATTTACACGTAGAGGAAGGGCTTATGGACTAAGAAAAGGAGAGCACACGGTAGGGATTATTGAATCGTTTCAAATTTATGCCAGGCTGAATAGTGTACCAGCAATTGACTTTGGCTGTGTTTCTTTATGCTTTTAAAACTCTTTTGAGCTGTTATAAGAGATAGTTTTATTTTGTTTTTTTTGTTTGTTTATTTGATATGGAGTCTTGCTCTGTCACCAGGCTGGAGTGCAATGGTGCGATCTCTGCTCACTGCAACCTCCACCTCCTGGGTGCAAGCAATTCTCCTGCCTCAGCCTCCCAAGTAGCTGGAAATACAGGTGCCTACCACTATGCCTAGCTAATTTTTGTCTTTTTAATAGAGACAGGGTTTCACCATGTTGGCCAGGATGGTCTCAATCTCTCGACCTCGTGATCCACCCACCTCGGCCTCCCAGCTCTTGGGATTACAGGTGTGAGTCACTATGCCCAGCCAAGAGATAATTCTTTTAATGTGACTATGCTACATGAAAGCCAATGGTGAGGGAAACGGAGGACCCTCTAGAAGAGACTGAGGAAAGGCCGGGAACGAAGGTTTTTGAGAAGTCTGCCCCTATTTATTTTTAGTAAGTATCAAGAGGTAGCCTGAGCCTAGTTAGAGTTAAACCTGTCTTTGGATGAAGAAGTGTTGACACTGAAATACTGGATTTTTAATATATTAGTTTATGATTTGGTATTCTGTATACCCCTTCAGGTAGGTGTTTCCCGTTCCCAATAAACTGTACTTTATATAATTCTGGATGCTAAAACTTAGAGATTTTCTCTTTACATAAATTTTGGCTCCATTCTTTCCATAACAATCCAATCAAAACTGGGAGTTCTCAAGTGAATGCAAAAGGAGTAGGCCATAACCTTATTCATTAGAGAGACTGTCAGAAATGTGTGCTCTTTTGGCCTATGATAATACCATTTATTTTTGCATTGCTTCACAGTTTGCCAAGTGTTTTTACTTCATCTCATTTGATCTCAAAACAGCTTAACAGAGCAACTGTTATTGAAATATTACAGATGGAAAGAATGAGGCTCAAGGAAGCTAAATGACTTGGCCAAGATCTGCTCATCGTCACTGTCTGTACAGTATTTTCTTTAGAGGTGGTAATGTCTTATATTTAGTCCTTTGCCATCTATGTTGATTTACTTTTGTCTATTTCCTCATTCATTGAATATGCTTTAAATATATAAGTTAAAGTATCAAAATATAGAGAAATATTTGAACTATATTCAGGTAATATGTTTAAAGATATTTATATATTACCATACAAAAACTAAACATTTAAAACTGATAATATATATAACATCAGAATGAAAGAAAAAAGTTGTACAGTGAATATTTCTTTGTTTTGAATCCAGATCTTTTTTATAGGTAATGACAAATGCCTTAATGTGAACCATATTTATAATATCAGTAAACCTAACTGGATTTGGATGAAGAAGTCTTAATACTGAAATACTGGATTTTTAATGCACTGGTTTATTATTTGGTATTCTATATCCTTTTCCAGGCCTCCAGGTTGCACATTTATTTATTATGTTCAATACTTTGGTTCTTAGTTCTTAACGAATCAAGAAGATGTGGAATCTTTTTAAAATATTATGTTGCAGGTAAAGAAAAAAATTAAGAGTGTGTTATTGTGTTTACAACTGTTTTCTCTTTTTTACAGCACTTGTATTTAAATAATTGCTATACTAGTTAAAATTAAATTCATTATTTAGGAATCTAAAAACTTGTAATTCTATGATAGATTGCATTTATTAAAAATGTTTCATTGTAGCACATAGAAATATGGCCAGGAAGGACTTGAGAAGGTAGTTTGATCCATTGCTTTTAGACAGAACTGGGTTTTGCTGTCCAATTTTATACAATAATAGTTTTTCTTACAATGTAAGCTGGCCCCAGTCTTGTCTTGATATTAATATATGAAATTTTTACAGTTGTCTCATTGTCTCATTTAGGAACATCCAGATTTTTCTGCTTTTTCTGTTGCCATTTTTGTGCATGAACAAAGTGATTATTGAGAAAATGTAGCCATTTGCATATTTTAAAATAAATCATTTTGCATTTTACACTTAAATATGCTAACATTACTGTCATAGAATTCCCAAATTTCATTTGTGGATATTAAGCTAAGGGCTAATGTCAGGAGCTGATTTTTAATGATAAAGCTGCAGATGCGCTAAATGAAAGCCAAATTAGTCCTACAATTAGGTATTATGTTTTTAAACGAAGTTGAGTGGATTGATAGTGGACTTGGGAAATCATCTTCAGCAGAATCTGGATGAGTGGCACAGAATTCTAATCTCTTTGTTTCCCACCGTTTCCCTTTAAGTGGTCTGCTCCTTTGTAAACAGCTAAAGATTTGGAAGAGAATCTAATATTCCTGAGGCATTATGAAGAAAGGATTTAATCCCTTCTACCTGGGGCTTAATCCTGTTAAAGAAAATGTAAGTGAAAATGGAAGGCTAGAGAATGATTGCTTTCTGTACAGTTAAATGAGGTCACAGTATTCTTATGTACTTTGTTTTGCAACTGTGTTTTCATTTTTTCAAAGGTCCAGTCATTTAGCAAAGTTATTTACTATTTACTGTGTACATAGAAAGCTTTATTATGTGTGGTATATCTAATTTTTTTTTTCCTGAAATACGTTATGGTCAATCAAGTCTACCCTGTGTGTACAGAATTTGTTTTTTTCCAAATAAATGAGTTGTTTTCTTATTTTTTTGGTTTAGTATGTTGAAATAAACTATCGTAGCTTCATCATTTTGTGTATTTTCTTTTTGAGGAAGATTTCTTTATGAGTGCAAGGGCTACCCTAATAAAAGAATGTATGTATTTGCTGTTTGTGTCTGCAGATAAATACATGATTGTATTGTTCAGTTATCGCCCCAACCACAGTTTTTACATTAAATGAGACCCCCAGTTCTCTCACCTGTCTTTCTCCCCCTATCTGTAAGTCTCTCTTCATGTCTGTTTCCAGCTGAGATTCCACAAACCGTATTACCAGTTGTAGCACTCATATCAGTACCCTCAATGCTGTTTCTTATCTGCTTTTTACCATGCATAGAAAAATTTAGAAAAATCCCCAAGTCTGTTTTGAATGAAACAACTTAGTTTTTCCAGTATTTGCAACCGAGCAGCCAAATGCTGCCAGAGAAAAAGTCATACAAGGCAATTGGATTCTCTGAGTTCATGATTACCCTATCTCAGTACTATCTGGTATTCCTACTACAATTTCCTGGTAAAGTTGACCTCCATTGTGCACAATTGCTTTTTCATACCTTCTTTCTCTACCTTTACCCCCATTTCACAAAGAGGTGACCATATCTTTTACTTTGTGGACTTTGCACTCATAGAGATATTCTCAGTTAGTAGAAAAATTTGACAGTATAGGAGCCCCAAATCTAGACCTAAGAAGTTGCCAGTAGATATAAATTCCTAATATAATTTCTGCTGTGGAGTCATTACAATCAGGGAGTGATTGAAAATGTCTGGGAGTAACAGCCATTTAATTCTGGGGACTGCTGCTCCCACTCCCACCACGTGGTTCTCCCAGGGCTGCCAGTACTAGTAAGTACTCCATCTGTCTGGGCACAGGATTAAGCATGTGATTCAGGCTAGGCCAGGTCCTTACTTAGTTTTTCTAATTGAAACTGAAGAAGGAGAGCCACTTTTTTCTAATGACAAAGCTAGAGAGAGTCCTAGTTCTAAACTCCTGTGAGGCCAAACTGTATTCTTATTTGCATAGTTTCATTTTCAAGGTAATAAATGCCACTTTTGGCCTAAGATAGGTCAAATTATGCTTCTTGGTTTGCAGCTGAAAGGATTCTAGTTACAACAGAAATTGGTTCCTGGAAGCAAAAAAAAAAAAAGTAATTGGAAATAATTAGGGTATTTATGTGAATATCGGCTTCAGCAAGAACAGACGGCAATTCAAGTTAGGGTAATTCAAAAGAAGTTTGGCAAAAAGACAGTTTAGAAAGT